AGTAGCAGTAGCAGGAGTAGGAGTAGGAGTAGTAGTAGTTATAGTAGTAGTAGTAGTAGTAGTAGTAGTAGTAGTAGTAGTAATAGTAGTAGCAGTAGGAGGCGCGCCCCCCCAGCGCCTATATGGATAGCAGTTTTCGGTTTTTACGTGGCTAGGGAAGGACGGCACTTCGGGGTTGTTTGAGGGGGGGGAGGCTGGGGGGGCTAAGGACGTCCGCACCGCACATCCATGTCGGACATCGTACAAAATGTTCCTCTCAGACGCCCATCTCGTCGAGGCGGAGGAAGAATTTCTGGCACTTTGCTCCCATCTGCACTGTCTCATGGTGTCGCCTGCTTTCACCCATCTTGAGTTTGTCAGAACTGCTCAAGCATACGGCTCTACCACTGCCAATGCCGCTTCCGCTGCGACTGGCACTGGTACCGCTGCTAATGCCAGCTCAAGCCTGTCTGTACGTCACTATCCCCCCCAGCCCAACAGAACGGAAACAAAAAGTAAGCGCCGCTATCGTCGATGTGCATAAACCCACACGCAACACACATTTCTAGCACTCGTGAAGTGTGTGGGCACACAGTGCGCCCCTTTGCCGACTGCGTGTCCTTTGTCTCCGGAACAAGGGTCCTTGTGCAAAAGCACAAGACACTGCAAATACCGCTGTTTGCTGCTATTCGGACAACATCGGAAAGCACAGCATGCTGTCAATAACGACGTTCGGAGGACCGCATCCATCCAGGTGCAAAGCACCAAGATCGAAAAAAATGGCTATCACAGAAGTAGTTGGGGCAAGACTTCCTGATGCTTCTGACAACGAATAGTCTAAATACCACATGCTTTGGTTGCGATTGTTACGGCGCGCATAGGCGCCCATGGCGCGCAATGAGTAGTAGTAGTAGTAGTAGTAGTAGTAGCAGTAGTAGTAGTAGTAGTAGTAGTAGTAGTAATTAATAGTAGCAGCAGCAGCAGCAGTAGTAGTAGAAGCAGTAGTAGTAGTAGTAGTAGTAGTAGTAGAAGTAGTAGTAGTAGTAAGAGTAGTAGTAGTAGTAGTAGTAGTAGTAGCAGTAGTAGTAGTAGTCGTAGTAGTAGTAGT